ATGTTTCCAATCCTAGATTTATTCCAATGGATTGCAGCTGCTTCAAACATTTTGACTTTCTCGCTCTAGCTACCAATACTCCAGTAGTGATTAACCACATCTATAAAACCCTCATCTAGAAACCAAGTAGCTTGACACTTAAAGATGGGTTTTGCTCCTTCACCTTTGTTGATGAGAAGAGTTCTTAATGTAAAGAGGTCTATGGTTTGATCCAAACTTGCCAAGATGAAAGACTTTGAAATCAGGAAAAGCAAAAGTCCACTCCTTGTTAGAAAATGCCCAATCAATTCTTTCCTTAACTATCCCACTTTCCTAAGTAAATCGATCTCCAACAAAGTCCACCTTAAGAAGATTTGCTTTATAAATCCCATCTCCAAATTGCTTCATAGACATATAATTCAAACCAACACCCCTATATTTGTCGTCATCCGATAAATAAGCATTGAAATCCCTAAAAGTTAACCATGTCCCATTAATATAGTTACTAAGAGTTTGAAGACTAGCCCAGAGATTTTTACGCAGACAGTGATTAGTTTTAGCATACACACAAGTCACATCAAAAGAAACATTAGTGCTCAAATCTTGAACCCGCACATGTAGTAGCTGAGTATTTGAGAAAACGTAATTAATCTCAACAGAAGACTCATTCTATGAGAGCCAGATACCCCCAGAGAAGCCCATAGCTTCAACCCTTAGCCAATTAGAAAAACTAATTTTCTTGCAGATTCTATCCGCTTTAGCACCATTGAGATGAGTTTCAAATAAGATCAAAATGTTCACTTCCTTTCCTCTCAACAAATCCTTAATTTTATTGGGGAAGCCTTTGGCAGCTGCTCCCTTACAATTCCAAGCTAGCACTTACATAAATTAATAAAAGAAGAAGGAGAACGAGAATGTAGAAACCTGTGGGCCTCAAGAAGTCTCCTCCAGCTCCACGTCAAGTGTCACAGGACTTCACCATGTAAGTTTTCTTCATCTACCTCAAAAAATTGATCCACTTCACCATCCATATTAGAAATGAGAATAGATTCCTTTCAAAGGTAATCCGGAGGCCTAGGTTGATGATGTATCCTTTTATTCACAATACCAGTCCGGTCTGTCCTCATATTTTTTGGGCATTCAATATTGCTATTAGCATCTTTCCTCCCATTTAAATTTAACTTACCTTTTCTTGTCATTGAGCCTTCCATAAGATTGTGTTTTCTAGTCGTGCGTTTCAGTATAGGAGATAAGTCCTTTGGTCTAGAGGCTGTACTTCGTTTAAACCCACTAACTTTAATCAGTGAGCCTTTACCAAACCCAATTGCCTTCTTGTTCCTTCTTAAGCCCAAGATGACGTGGTTTCTATTTTTGAAAGCTAAAGCATTGAACTTAAAGAGGTTATCCTCACCTATTGGGCCTTTACTCTTTTATCCTTTTTCATAGCGTGAGTGAAGATGTCTCCTTGGCCCAGTTTTCCTTTTGAATTTTTTGAAACCCAAATCTTGGCTTGCCGTTCGGTGAAGCCTAGAAGCTTTAAAGCTAAACACTGGGCCCCTTGTGTAATTGTCTTGGTCCACGGGTGATTTTGAGCCATCTTGATCTTCCTTTCTGAGCACACTTTTCCCTTTTAAACTCTTAATTGACATGGCATGTTCTTTGATCGAAGGTAGCACTTTATTTCCAGCTTTATCCTTACTGAAATCCTTACCCATCTTATCATGACGTTGATCAAACTTTTGCGCCTCTTTCCGCCTGCATTTTGTCGCATAGACTTTTTTAATGGGAGTTGGTATAGCAATCTCAACCTTCCCTTCTTCCATCACCTCTTCCAGTACACTGAACCGTGAGATAGGAGCCCTTTTTACTTGTAGTTGTGATGATTTATTATGACCCATATGTCCTTGGTGCTGGTTCTCCCTCTTTCCCCAGTCTTGTCTAGACCATCTAGGTTTATAGGATCTCCTCTCTAGCATCCAACCACCATATTCCTCTTCTAGTGGGATCTGCAAAGGGTTGAGCTCTCCTCCCTCCAGCCTGACTAAGCTACCGAAGTTTATATCAGGTAACACTCCTGCAACTAAAGTTTTTATCGAAATTACCTCCTTCTTCAACAATGGACATTCTTCTTTTTTATGCCCATATTTCCCACAGTTGAAACATATAATTTCCAGCCCTTTATATGTAACGTTAAAAACTTGTTTGCGAATAACAAATCTGGGGTACAGCTTCTTATTTAAATCCACCTTTACATTGACTCTAGCAAACTTGCCTCTTTCCATTTTTGTAGTAAGATCATTTTTTTTCATTCAATCTTAAGCACCTTACCAATCTTGCTCCCAACCTCATGTAACATATCCTCTGTATAACAATGTAGAGGCAAAATCGGTATTCTAACCCAAATGGCAAGTTTCTGCACTTTATTATTGAAAGGGTTGAAATTTGGGCTCCACCGTTATATTGCTAAGTAGTGTCCCAGGATGACCCAAGGACCTTCATTTAACAGCTTCAATCTGAGTGTTTTATTTTCAGACCTGAAAGCAAAATAATTGTTTGCCATATCAATCAACTCAAAGTCCGACAAGCCAAGCATAGCTTCCAGTCTTTTACGCAGTTCATCAAGACGTAATTTTTTCCCTATTAATGTCAATATTAGTGCATCTTTCCATGGTAAACAAAGCTTCTCCACTGTTCATCCAACATATCTACTCGCAGGATATGCTCAAAAATTTTTTGTTGGACTTCTTTTAGCACAGGAGAAGCTTCTTCCTCTTCTTTAAGCCAATTCTAGAATATGGTTCGAAATCCTCTTCCACTTCTAAGCAGTCTTTCTCAATCAGTATGTCTCTAAAGGAGATTTGAGACCACGGTTTTGCACCATAGATAAATCCTCTCTTTTGTTCCAGTTCTGCATCTATACTGGAACCATTCTTACCTGTCTCTAGAGCCGGACTCTTCTCCGTTACTACATCACATTGATGAGTCTTCTCAACACTACGACCAATCGCATATTCTTCTTCCGTTGATAGCTCCTGACTAGCTTCTCCGACGACCTGAACAGTCACAGCCCTTGACCAGCTTTCGTGCCCCCACACTCTCGCACCACTCTCTCTCATCTCTCTTGCCTTTTAGGGCTTGAGACGTACTATTCCCATTATCTATGGCTTACATATGAAGCTAATAATCAAAGATATGCAGGAATTAAATCTTATCGTTGTCTTTCAGTCGGAGAAAAGAGATGGCATCGAAAGAAGAGAATGAAAAATCATAGGGATATATAGATCCTATCATGACGGGCGCAAGAAGGTTGAAGGCAGGTGAAAAATCCGCGGGTTTAGAAGGCGATAGATGTGTGAGGAATCGTGTTCGACGACGCGGTTCAGTCGATCGCGTCGCTGGAGGGCGGCGAAAACGGCAGGAAGATGAAAACCCCACTTCCCCTGGACGAGATGAAAGCCATGGTGCCATGGAGAGAGTGAAGTTGTTGAACTGCGTCCTGGGAAGAGAGAACTTGCCAGTCGACACCTTTTCATCGGTCACCTAATTTTAAACTACCATTGTTATTCAAAGTTAACGGGCGAAATTGTACCGACCTTTAAAATTTTGGGATAATATTAAAAAAGTTTAAAAATATTAAGAGCCTCTCATAAAAAATTTCGGCCTTTTCCCCTACAACTCTTAAAAATATAAATTTTTTAATATATAATTAATGAGTTTTCTTAAAAAACATTTTTAATAAATAAATTATATAAACATTCACTTTCAAGTGAGATACCTTATTAAATAAAATCAAACATACAAAAAAAATCAGTCTGATAATAATTAACTAACTTATTGATATATAATTTAATTAAAAATATTTTATATTTTTTATATTAATATTAAACCATGACCAATAACTATTCTTTAATATGATTTAATTTTATAAACACTATTGGTATTTTTCCAAACATCTCGTGATCCTTTTGATTTGATAACTATTCTTGACATTTCTCATTTTTCTAAGCACTTTTGGTATTTTCCTTAACATGACTATTTGTGGATATAACAGTTAATCATAATGTAATCATTGCTCATAAAGTTGGAACAAATTTTCAAATGAAAACATAACTAGTCAGGCTTCGTCTGTATCACACAAATTTTGGGAAATATCTCAAAGGTTTCAAATTTTGTTGGAAGAACAAGTTCATCAATGTAAATATTTAATAACTCTCATAAAGCTTTGATACTTATTCAACATGATTTCACTCTGAACCATTCCCTTACCAAAATTATAAAGAAAATCATAAACCTTGCCATGAGTGATTGAATAATTACTTTCAACTGTGTTCAAAGAAGCTAATGAATATACAAATTGCTTTGATCATCAAGTGTCAAATGACATTCTTAATATTTTTATTTTTGATAATTCATTTCTAGGATGTCGAATCCTTGGGAGTCAAGACGTGTTAATTTCTTTTTGCACTGTTTTCTATAGCCATGTATTAAAAAAAAATTAAAAAAAATTATATTATTAATAGTATGATTTATTATAAATTTTAAATGCTAACTGGCTTCCACCCAAACTGAAAACATAAACACAGACAGGCAATGAACTTGATAAGGATGAAATTGCTAAAGCGAGCCTTGTCCAGGAAATAAACTTCAAGAGCACGCCAAGCTTGAATCTAGCTGTATAAACTCTTTAAATCACAATATAAAGTATTGATAATTACTTTAATGAGTTTTCAAAAAAAAAAAAGTGAAACTTTAATCTCTTAATTTTTTTTACATTTTTCCAATTATGCTAAATATTATAAATAAGTACTTAAATGATGACAATTAAAATTCAATGCAACATTTTTTAAAAAAAGAATAATACATGAAATAGGAGTATAAATAAAAAATAATTATAAAAACTATTTAATATCCTATCTCCTAAAAAATGCCCTATATATCATAGTTCGAAGTAAGAAGCTGAAAATCAGCAGTTAATAGTTAACGTGTAGGCTTTGGAGGACGAAGGGAAGAGGACAACATGATTATTCGATGCTCAAGGCACAAGCTCATCGCTCCATCAGTCCAATCAAGAGTATATCACAAGGCACCGAAGGCACATGAGCAAGCTCATGTTACCAAATTACAAGATCAGGGCATTGCACACGCCTTAACTTCCGCGTACTGTTTTTGTAATTATTTTGTTAACGAAAAGCTGACATAATATGGACAATCGCATGTCACACTATTGTCTCCCGAGCTTTTCAAGGATGATAATTGACAAAGGAGAATGTATGAGAAGAGTAAAATTCTAAGTTTTATCATGGCTCAGGCTCCATTCTCTCACATTCTTCTCTAATTGACTGAAAAAGAACAGAAGACAAATATCTTTCCCCAAAGCTTGGGAAGACAACCTGCATATAAATAATAGTTTCAGTGCTTTGAAAAACAAATAAAACATAGGACGAAAATTCCATTTGCTTATGTGTACAACCCAAAAGCAAAAGTAGGTCCTAATTACATTTCTACCGTTATGACATCCTAACCAAAAAAACCAGTACAACTTAATTAAAAAAGTCAAACATGATTAATAAAAGAGACATAAAATAGCAAAACATAAACTCCACACCAAATGATTACTTTATCCAATTAAAAACTCAAAAATTAAACCATTATGCAAAAAGGATAACTGATAAACATGTGGACAATGTTCAAGAGAAGAAGCTTCACCCATCCAATGGTATTCCCAATGATGAAGACAAGTTCCATCTCCAACATGAGACGAAAGCATTGAAAAAATGGAAGGGCATATCAAATAGATGAAGTTCCACGGGCTTGCATGAGTAGCATCAAAGCAAGGATCCTATCCATTAAACTGAACACCATATTTGCCCCTGATCATCCTATGCCACATAGAAATACGCTCCAAATAAACCGCCAAAGCCTCTTAACCACTAGGGAGATGTTTTAGACACCAAGTCACCTTGAAGCAACTCTCCATTCTCCTTCAACCAACAAGACACCTCCCAACTAACCAAGTGATCTCTTTTACTCTCACCACCCCAAAACCACAAGTACAGCATGATCTTCTCAAGACTTTCCTAAAATCTCAATGCCTCTTAATCTTTACCTTTCCCAAAATCTAATACATAATCTAAAATGTTGGAACATGAGAAGAGTATTAGAAGCAAGTGGACAAGTAAATAACATCATACACCTACAGAGCAGAAATATAGGTGTACCTAGACTTTGCCCATAAGGTCAGATTGTTAACTAAGAACTAGGTAAAAGGTTGCGTTATCTCAAACTTATATGAAAAGAAGGAAATTCAGAATGAGCGATGGCGACTATATTAGTCCATCTGATATTCAAGTTGTCTTAAGTAATCTATTTGCTGCTTTTGAAAATGAGGCAAAGACATCCTGCCGTAGGTGGATAAAATTCCATGGATCAGAAATTAATTAAAAGCTTTTAAAGGAGGAATAAGGCATACCGCTATAAGCTTTCCTGCATTTTCAGGTCTCTTTCCAACCTTCAATGCTGCTGTCGCTGCAGCTCCTGAAGAAATACCTACCTGATATCCAATTAAGGCGCATGTAAGGGCCAAAGCATACAGTAAATATATATATACTCCCTCCGTCCTTATATATAAGATATTTTTAACCGAATCTCACATACCAATAAAAGTTTGTTATTTAGTTGAACTTATATAAAAACAATGATTTTTCAGTTTTACCCCTAATAATATCATAATTAATATTATGATGGTGGTAGGAAAATATGCATTTAATGATCTATTCCATTTTTCAAGAGAAGGGTAAACTTGTCTAATTACTCAAAAAAATCATTGCCACCCCTTATATTTAGGGACAAATAAGCTTCTAGAAAACACTTTATATATAGGGATAGAGGGAGTATATATTAACACTAAATTTAGGCCAGATATTGCTATGAGGTAAGATTCAAAGAGAAAGTTAAACAAGCTAAGAGATAAAAAGTTACTATTCACTCCCTAATCGTGGAATTTGACAGTTTGACCATACTTTTGGAAAAATACCAGAAGTGGTGGAGAAAAAGACAACTTATTGCAACCAATATTTAATTCGTAGGTAATTCCTATTGGGCATAATTTTTTTCTCCTATAAAACCTGTTACATGCAACTATTTTGTCTCATGTAAGTACATGGATGTATGAAATGAATTCAAAGTAGAATTTAGAGAAACTCAATCATGCAAACACTTGAAGAGGCAAACATAAGAACTAACCAACAAGCCTTCATGGAGCGCTAATTGCTTTGCAGTTTCAACAGCTTCATCACTTGATATCTGCCGCCAAGTTCACAAGACAAAACGGTTAACTATGGAATATAGACCAAGAAAACATTGGCATGCAGAATTTATTGCGGTGGTCCTAATACTAGATTATATAAATTTGGCCCACAAAAGGCAGCTTTAGGCATGGCATAGCAGTTGAGAATTGGGGTTCAAAATGAAACATTCTTCTAGTAATCACTGATAACACAAAAAACAATATGGCAGAGCATGAAAAGTTATTGGATGATAAGCTGTAACCATGCTTTAGACATAGCACATGCTTATTGTTGCAGCTCAGCCCCATGTTTCTCCATGGACTCTATAGCTTTTGTTTTTATTCCTTTCTTATTTATGGTTTTTAGTATTTTATTTAAATTTGAATGATTCTGTTATCTTAATTTTGACATAGATTTGATAGGATTTAGTCCTTGGCTTCCCTGCTTTATTGGAATCAGGATATCTCATAAAGCTTTGTCTTCACAAGCCAACATACAGCTGTAACCTATGGGACCTCTCAATAATGCATCATTCGTGGAGGCTTAGCAGCATACTCACTGGTTTTTTGGGTCACATAATTCCACATGGCATCAAAGCCAAGAATATGATCCACCAATGATCAAATTTGGCTATACTCTAAATTCTGATGGCCAACCAAAAGGGACACAGCTCCTCAACAGAATCTCATCCCTCCAGTGCCAAGTGACCCATCCCTACAGCCCATCGATTTAATGGGCAAACCTATCTTCAAATGGGCTTCTTTCCTAGCATCAAGCTGTTTGCGAAGGATAAAGGCAAGCGTGACTTTCTCATAGGTGCTACCAAGCAACCTTCTAACGAAGATCCAATGCTTGAAGAGTGGGAGGCAAACAATATCATGGTGGAAGCATGGATTGGCTTGCCAATTCCATTACCATTAAGATTGGCGAAAACATAATACTTTACACCTCTTATGTGAGTGCTGGGAACCTGCAAGATAGTCATTCTCATTGATGAAAAACAAAGCAGCTATCTTGCACGTTGGAGTGTTATACAACCCCAAACTAGGGAACATGAATGTCCCTTAGTACTACAACATTCTTATATGCGATTGGCAGCAATTGGATTTATATGAGAACCAGAAATTGCTGCCAATGTTGCCATTCTATTTTACGCCAATGTTGCATGCAACATTTTTTTTATTCTATTTGGCTCTTTTTCCGCCAATGCTGCATGCTACAAGATCAAGGAGACATGGACATATAAATTCATAGAAAATAAATTTTTCCCATGGCGATGTTTATATAGAAAAAAAAAAACAATTAATGTATGGTGGTAAAATAGAATAAAAAAAGTCTAGGATGTTACAAAGTTATTATACAGCAGTGAAGAAAAAAAAGGACGGGGATGAAAAAAAGTCAAGAAAATTCTAGTTCCTAGTTTCACCAACTTTGGAGTGAGCAATAAAATATGTTTTCACTTAAGTCCTTGGGTCTTCCTTCAAGTGTTTTAAGCCCTCCACCTTGAAATTCAACAATTCGTCTTATGATGACTTCAAAGGAAGGATCATGAGCATGAATATTCCATCAATTCGTTCTTCTATTTCTAGTGATTCAATGTGATGGCATTATAGTTGGGCCATCCTAACCCAAATACATGAGAAAATTTTATCCTTATTCATTCAATAAGGATTCTAGATCATTTGAATGTGACATGTTGATTATCACAGTATACTAAGGCATCTTATCCTGCGCATGAACATGCCTCCACTAAACTTTTCTCACTTGTTCATAATGATGTTTGGGGCCTGATGAATACTTAAGCGGGATAGGAAACCCTTCCTCAAAAGCTCATTGTTGAACTGGAAGAACCAACCTAACTAAATACCCTATTGAGCATCACATACTACTCAACGTGGGATTTGACATTCCATACTACCAAATCTCCATCAAAGTCCCTCAAGGAATTGTAATATAGATGGTGCTAAATGGTTTATTGTTTTCATTGATGACTATTCAAGGGGGACATGGACTTATCTTTTAAAGGAGAAATCTAAAGCTCCTCAAGTTTTCAAGAACTTTTATACCCTTATTCAAAATCAGTCTCATACCACCATTACATTTGAAAGGATTTAGTTGTTGCCTTCCTTGATATATTGGGATTAGGATATTTCATATGGCTTTGTAATCATAAGCCAATATTTGGCTGCAACTTATGGGATCTCTCAATAATATATCGCAGGTGGAGGCATAGCAGCACACTCACTGGTTCTATGGGTCGCATAATTCCAGTAAATCAATCACAAAAAGTAAAGGTGAATGACAACTTTCGAAACTTCAGGCTTGTCCATGAAATATAAGATATTGTATACTGGTGCTATAACTGAGTTAGATATGAATACCACCAAATGTTTGCAAATAATAATCTCAGCAAAACTTTCCAAAATAAAGGTTAATAAATCAGACTAATAAAAACCAGGAATAAATTTTCATCAATGCATGTTAAGAGTAGGAATAATTCAAAAAATCTGAACTCAACAGAAGCAACAAGAATGCCTGAGGTTAATACAAAGTCAAAAGGAACCATGGAAAATGCTTGAAAACATCAGTACATCATTTTATTTAGAATGGTAGGCACTAAAGGCCAGAGGTTACAAGTGGAATGCCGGAATCAAATGCACAACCTCCCAGTTAATAGGGAGCTTTCATGCCACAAGGTCACAAGGCCATTAGTGAAAATATCAGTACATTAAACCACTATTCTTGCACTGTTGAGGTTTTGTATTTGGATAAAAATGTACTCCTTCTGCACTTACAAATATACAATTTTTATGAAACCCATTAATCATTTTCTATTTAAAAGAGGAACTCAGTTTTGTGCAAATCCAGTAAAATCTAAGACCCCTAGTGTAGAGTTGAGAAAAGATTACAAAGCAAGTACATATGGACCATCAATTTCACATAGCATGTACCATTAGATCACAAGATACAACTCAACTTAAAGCATGCAGTTACAGCGCATACAAAATTAAGCTACTGCTTGTCACACTAGATGGTGGCAGTGAGATCCCATAATGGCATTATCATTCTTACTCAAATCCAAAGATGCAATAAGCCGTTGCCCATATGTAAATCAATGTCATGAAGATTATCATCTCCAACCCAATAAGTCAGCAAGGATTTTTTTTTTTTTTTTAAATATTGCTCATGGGTGTCCTCCAATTGGAGGCAATCTTGTTTGAAGCACGGTCAAGCAGTTAATGTGGGCACCTCTCCTAGTAGGTATTCGGACCTTGGTTTGCTACATTTTAAGAGACTAGCCTCTTCCACTATACCCAACTCCCATTGGTAAGTCAACAAGGATTTTATTAGTAATAACACAATATTACTCAAAAATTCTGCAGAACATGAGCAAGCAGAATATTTTAAACTTCACTGCACTCTAGCCTCTAATAATTGTTTCTTGATAATTTAGTCAGTAACATGAATAAGAGAAACGGTGAAGGGGAAGCATCAAAATTCAACCTCTATAACTTCATCAAGCACATCTTGATTCAAATTCCTGGGAACAAATCCAGCCCCAATTCCCTGAATCTTGTGAGGTCCTGCAGTTTAATTGGAAAAAAAAAAAAGACATAATCAATTCAAGAAAAAGCTAAAAAGAAATATACTGGACTGAGTGTATAGGATTTCTTATCTGCCAACCTGGTTTTCCACCTGATAGTATGTTGCTTTCTAAGGGCTCTACACCAACAACCTGTCACGCATGGAAGAAAATTCAAAATGAAACCAATAGGAAGCCTTCCTTAAATAAACTATTCCTGCTGGTGACAATACATGACAATGTATGCTAAGAGACAGCCACTCCACCAAGTACTTTACAAACCTTAACTTCACGTCATTACATTGATTGAAATTAGAAGTTGCATGAGGTTTAACAATGCCAATGAGAAATAGTGACCTGTATTTTGGGATTTTGTTGTTTTAGGAATTGACCAGTGCCAGAAATGGTTCCACCAGTTCCAATTCCAGCAACCAAGATATCCACTTTCCCTCTTGTATCTTCCCATATTTCTGGGCCAGTTGTCTCATAGTGTATCTGCATAGTTGAATCCAACATCATACATCAGAACACACTGAAGTTCAGCATGCCAATACTCTCCAATTATGGCATATAGTTTGTCATGAATTAGACTAAACATAATGAAGATCAACAAATCTCATCTTACAGTTTAAATATTATCTGAGGTCCTTCTCCATATCTATAGCAACTAGTGGCCAAGGACCTAACTTTCAAGAAATGCAATTCTTAAAATGTATATTTTCAACTTCTACAACCCTCTAATCAACTCTAAGCAAACATTCAGGTCCCACATGTCATGTAACATGTTTGTCAAAAGTCCAAAACATAATTCTCAATAAACACCCATGGCCACAATATTAAAGTAACAAATAATTCACATTTTCTTGATTATGAAACTAATACCACCTAAACCACAGTAAAAAGGTTCCTTGATAGTGCTATCAAAACTAGAGCAGAACATTCACTTCCTCTGTTTCGAAATATAGGAGAAAATAACAAATTCACATAGTTTAAGAAAGTCGGTGAAGTATAATAATTATGTCTGAACTTAAAAAACTGGGATTTAATTATCCCTGTAATTAATAAAACAAATTTGTCTAGTCAAAATAAACATGGACTTTACGAGGGACAATTTGGGGAAAATGTGATAAATTCTTCTTGAAATTTTTAGTTTTGCTTATAAATAAAAATAAAAACAAATATGGTAGTTTCTCTTATATTTGAAAATGGAGTAGCACATTCCACCTGTACTTAGTTTGACTCTTCACTATTCTAGACTTCTTGATCCTGTTGGAAGCATGGCTTCCTGTTTCAACTGAAGATAAGTAACAAATAACCAAATATCAATGGAAGTGCAAAGTATTGGTTTGGCCATCATCATTCCAGCAAATAGAATATCCTACTATCAGTTCACAAGGGCTTCCCAGAAACATAGGACCCATGTTTGGGGAGATAAAAAGTGAGCAGTTACAGAGACCTTAGGATTAGATGGATTATCAAATTGTTGAAGCATGTAAGCATTCGGTGTGCTTTGTAAAATTTCTTCAGCTTTCTGAACTGCCCCTTTCATGCCCTTTGATGAATCTGTCAAAACAAGCTCAGCTCCAAATGCTTTTAAAAGAACTCGTCTTTCTAAACTCATTGACGCAGGCATGGTCAAAATGAGCTTATATCCTTTTGAAGCTGCAATAAATGCAAGACCGATTCCTGTGTTTCCACTTGTAGGTTCCACCAAAATACTCTAGAATGCAAAGGAGAAACAAGTGAAATTAGAATAACAAAAACCTCTGCAAAAGAAATTGCTGAAACAACAATTTTAGAATGCGCCATCGTTCTTTTTTGAAAGAAACAACTATGAATTCACATATTGACACAGTAAGAAACCAAGGCAAAAAGATTTCATTATTCCATCCTAAGAAGGCTAAGCTAAGCGTTTAGCAAGCCAACGTTTCAAAGATGAGATTAATCAGAACTTTCAAGATCAGCAAATATATCAGTGTGCCATCTGTCATGAGATCACACAATTTATTGTTAATAATATATAAACATGGATGATTAGACTCAGATTAAGACTAATCAATGGCAACATTAGAAATTTCCCAATCGCCATGGCAAAATAAGAACATGATATACTACAGCCACAGGCAAGCAAGATCTCCTTGAAAGGGACACGATAGATTTATCCTTTATGAATAAAGTTAACAACAACAACAACAATAACAATAAGTAATGAGCAAGTGTTATCTGTGTTATAACTGTAAGTTACCTTCCCAGGCGTTATTACTCCTTTCTGCTCAGCATCATTTATCATACTATATCCTATCCTGAAAACAAAATTCAGAAATTTTGAAAAATTTATGCCCATTTGATACACAAAATAAAATGAAATGAAAAAGGGAATGCAATGAAAAGATGATTTTGTATATTAAAAACATCTCATGCAAGATGGGAAAAATAATAGAAAAAAATACTTAGCGTTCAGTAACGGTAATGTGGAAATAATAGATATTGCATGTGGAAATAATAGATATTGCATATATCAATTTTTGTAGAATGGAAAGGGATTACATAACCCTTGGTAATATCAAACAGAGCCTAGAGATTGATTCATCCTCCGATACGCATAATTCATGCGGTCATAGTAAGGATGTCAGGCTCATACAAACTTTAGCTTCAATCACATAAATAATTTATAAGCTTTCATTACCTTAATATCTTGATACAAAACACTTACCATAAAACAAGTCCCATCTATTTGATGAAGAATGAAGCAAAACTTTATAGTATCATATTACATTAAGTTTGTTTGGTTAAACGGGAGGGGAGGGGAGGACGCAGTTTGGTTAAAACAAAATGGACACTCCCCTCCCAATTGGGCGGATTTGGGGGGATTATTAAATCCCTCCCTGCCCCTTTATAAATACTCCTCTTCCCTCTCCTCACCTCCCCTCTATTAAAATCCTTCCCTCCCCTCCATTGAACCAAGCATTGTGAAGGTTGCTGATATTATTGACCCAAAAAAAAAAAAAAGGTTGCCAGCTCGAATGGAAAGCATTCATCCCCTTACCTGTCCTTGACACTACAACATGGCTCCATGATCTCAAGCTTGGCAGCAATATTTGCCACTGAACCCTTGACAATATTATTCAGGTACACCATTGGCGTTTTTCCTATAAGCTGTGTCAGCAGCAAAACATAAAAATCAAACAAAAGAAAGAAAAAAGTTTTCTTGATCTCCTTTTTCCACCAGCATACTTGTTAGGCTTGTTGGATTATCAAAATCTGCTAGAGATCCTAATCAGCTAAAATTTTCATAATTGGCCATCAAACAAAAATGAAAACCAGGAAAAGGTTTAGCAGAAGTAAATAAATTAAGACTGAAATGTTCGCGAATCAAGAATCACATGTCCTATTAAGTGACCTGGGTAACATCTTCAGCAATGTTGAGAGCCTCGATCTCCGCTTGCGGCTTCACAGACACAGCTTTGCAGGTAGCTAAGAAAGGTGAAGAGACCCTTTGTCTTGCACTCTGATAACGATCGCCGAATCTGAGTCTGAGCGATGTGCTGCTGCCCGACCAATAGGGAGTTGCAGCAGAAGCTCGGAAAGAATAGGTTTTGCAGGGAGAGGTCAACGAATTGATTATTGAAGCTGAAGCCATTACTGGGACTGGTATTGATAGTGGCAACTGGTAAGGGTTGACTCTTATCTTGTATGGCTTTCTGCCTCCAGCGAGGAATCAAATGACAGTAATGAAACGCCTCCACCGGCTGTGTACGCAGCGTCGGGCTTCCATGCAATTGAAAAACAGGCTGGGTATGTTTTTCATCCGATCAATTTTAGATGAGATTTCAATTTCAACTTTTTAATTTTATAAAATAGCTTTTATATATTTATTTTTAATAATATTAATTTTAAATGATTATTTTTTATATTAATAATTGTTATTTTAAAACATTAAAATTAATATATTAATATTTAAAGATATTTTATTAATATTTAAACTTTAATATAGAAATTTTTTATTATAAAACTAATCGTGATAGAATTAAGAAGACTGAAAAAGATAACTTATAAAATTAAAGAATCAAAATAAATTTTTTTATAAAATTAAACAATAACAGTGTACTCTAACCTCAAAATTATGGGCAAAAAAGCGATAATAAAACTTTTTATTTCTTAAATTTATTTCAATTATGAATTTAATACCTAAAACTTAATGGGAAAATTACCCAAAAAAACTCATCACAAATTTATTTGCTAATTGGGTTAGATTTTAAAATTAGGTGCTTCACTGGCATTAATTGCTAAGGACTAAATGATATAAATGTCCTTGTTTAAAATAAAAAAAAAAACAAAAGTAGATCAAAGCCTTTCGCTGTCAATATTTCATACACATGGTTCTTGGGTGATAATTTATTGAGCCTTGAAGCACATTGAAGCATATGAGATGTTTCTTTTATATATTTAAATATCACTTTTGTTTATTAGATAAATAGAAAAAAAATTATATTTCTTTGAATAGTAGTTGCCTATTGTGAAAGAGGAGTCACATATGTAGTGTTTCTTCCATATATTCAGATACTACCTCCATTAAAAATTTTGAGATATTTTTTAAAGAGTTAGATGTTTAAAAATATAAAATATTTTTAGTTTTTAAAATATAATCATTGTCTTTTTTTTAAAAGTGCTCATCTTAAATAAATTACTTTATATTTATTTTAAAATGAAAGGGCTTATTAAGTATAGGTAAATATGAAAAGATAAAGTTAGTTTGAAGACAAGTAACTACTTTTTTGAGAGATGGGATTCGATTAAAAATATATTATATTTTTAAATGGAGGGAGTATCACTTTTGCATATTTGAATAAATTGAAGAAAAATTAAATTTCTTTGAAGGATGGTTGCATATTATGAGAGAAGAATTGCATATTGAATGTTTCTTTCATATATTTGAATATCATTTTTGCATATTTAAATAAATAGAAGAAAAATTATATTTCCTTAAAAGATGGTTGTATATTGTGAAAGAAAAGTCGCATATGTGATTTTTTTTCCATATATTCGAATATTACTTTTGCATATTCAAATAAATGAAAAAAAATTATATTTTCTAAAAGGGTGGTTGCATATCATAAAAGAAGAGTCACATATACAAAAATTTTTCCATATATTTGAATATCACTTTTATATATTTGAATAAATAAAGAAAAATTACATTTTCTTGAATAGTGATTGCATATTATAAAGAAAAGTGGCATATACTTGAAGATACATGCATATAGTCATAAAACATAATATTAAATGTAAAATTTTTAGAATATCTAAAATGTTTATTCAAATAAGTGGAAGACAAATTGCATTTCTTTGGAGGATGATTGCATATCATGGAAAAGAGCTGCATATGGTTGAAAATATCTGTCTATAGTTCTAAAATATGATATTAAATTTAAATTTTCAGGATATTCAAAATAATAATTTGAATAAATAAAGAAAAATTACATTTTCAAGATATCCAAAATGCATATTCAAATATAGATTAAAACTCAGGGTTTGAATATTGCATCTATATTGTGTTTTCAGAATATCACAAATACATATTCTAAAAATTTTTCCTTTTCTTATGAAAATACTAAAGAATATTTTGAAAACGCAAATGGTAATTCTTAAAATTTACTCATTTTGTATGAAAAAACTTATAGATATTTTAAAAATACAAATGAATATTTTGAAAATTTACTTATTTTTTATGAAAATAGTAAGGGATATTTTTAATAGCCACTATAGTTATTTATAAAGTTTAATCACGCCAATTTAAAGAACAATTGATTGCCAATAAATCAATTTACCGTTAAACAATTACCTATTTTTACATCCTTGACAACAAAAATTACATTATATTACAAGAAGATAATACAAAAATTTAAATATTATTTGCCAAACACCATCAGATGCAAGTGCAGCGTTTTCATAATAAAAGTAAAGGTGTAACTGCATTGCCCAAGTACATTCAATCTCAATTGGATTTGAGCATATCTGCGCTAGGTGGGCGTCAACAATGCACATCCAATTTACTAGATCATAGCTATAAAGTCGAACCCTATATAGTTTTAACGGTAGCAATCTAGTCTCTTAGTGATGGAAAGGCATGACTAAGTTAAAAAACGAATGAGATGGATGTTAAATGCTGATGCGTGCATGCGACATGGGTTGTAAAATTATTATAATTTTTTCCCTCATCCTCCATCCTTTCTTCATCTTGCAGTCGTCTTTCTTTTTCTTCGCTCCCTTCCCTCTCTGTTCAGTGCCATTGTTGAGTCTTCCAAATCATGAGCTGTGATTCATTATTTTTGGCACTTTTTGAATCTATAGCTTGAGAAAACTTGCGTTGTTTACGATGTTCCAAGTGATTTATTGGGAAGAAAACTTCATTCACTATTTTTTTATACAAATGATTAATCTAAAATAGTTTCAATTAATGATACCATTCTATCAAGTGTTGTTCAAAGTCTTCAACATCAACAGCTTAATTTACTACACACAATAAAGAACCTAGATGATCAAGCATGCACTTAGTACCATTTCAATCATTATTAAAAGAGATAAATAGTCAAGTAAACATGGGGAAATTGTTAGAATGCCATGGAAAATCCATAAGCTAGTGGTCTATAATACTTCCATGCAAATCATAGATTTGCGGACTAGTTAGATCTTAAAGACCTTATTAAGTATTCAATCATTGATTAATGACTAAGAGTGTTATACCAAGCACAAAGATTGCACCTTAGGCAAGCTTAACCCAACCCAACTCAATTTGACTGCATTGAACCCCAATTTTACCAGGTTGACTAGGTTATTGCACAAGCTAACGGTCACCATATTACATCCGTGCACTTTGTTTTTCTTTTTTTTAAATGGAAATTTATTCTTTCATTTTTGTTATTGAGAATCTTATTTAGTATGGATCGATCTCAAGGTGTCCAAGTCAATGCTGACATTCCTTGTACATGTCCATGCTAGATGATCAGGAATTAGGGAACAAATCGAAGGTGCAACAAAAAGAAAGAGGAGCATAGAATAGAAGAGAAAAATTTCCATAAAATCTACTCAAGAATTGCTCAAATCGCCCTCCAATATTTAAGAATGCCTCCAAGATCTTGGTTGAAGCTCCAAAATCGCCTTTTGGCCTTCAGATATAAACTTAGAGGAGGGGAACAAATCGAAGGAGGGGACCTATTTAGTAAATTGACAAAATTGAATACTTCCAAACTACCTAATTGAACGAGAAGAGCTGTTCAAACAACATTTCCTTGCAACAAACGACCATAAAGATATTTTTAGGTTGAGAGAACATCCTCTTCACCTTCCTAATGCTCCATTTCGAGAATTTTGACACAGCCATAATTCTTAGTTCTTACATCACCTAGGAAGACTATTTCAGAGCGATATGGCTATCACCAACAATATTAGATCAAAACAAAAGCCCCTGAAGTTCAATGTCAAACAATGGCACCTTACCAGATGCTAAAGCTTAGATGACATGTTCAGCAACAAAACGAGAGAGAAAATGCTGTACCAGAATATTACAGTCACTAAATTGACCTACTAAGCGACCCAGATCTCCCCAAATACAAGTGAATCAGCATCTCCAGAATCCAACAGGCACATACAAGCAGAACTCTTGCGTATGGTTGTCAAAGCCTCAGATCTCCCCCAGATAAATCTGCTTATCACTGCTGCAAGACGCAACAATAGGTTCATTGGGATGAAATACACACTCATTAACAGATCCTGTATGGCCTGGAAGCTTGTACAAGATGCGTCGTGAAGTGGTATCCCATATGTAAACCATCCGATCTGAGCTACCAGCTGTGACTTTGCTTCCATCAGGTGACCAGCTACATTTCAACAAGTTCTTTTCAAAGTTGTGCTGGTGCCCTTCCAATACCTTCACACAGCGATTTTGAGGGGCATAAGGGCGCATATCCCATATGCATAGCTTGCAATCCATGCCATTCGTTAGAAGATAGGAACCATCAGGACTCAATTGCATGCCTGTTATCATATCTAGATGACCTTGAAGTGTCATTATTACCTCACCTTTACGCAAATCCCAAACCTTGACATCATTATCAATACCGCCAGTGAATATCTTATCTGATGCATCAGAGAAACTGACGGCTGTAATTTGGTATTTATCTGGAAATGTCTGAATGGAACCCCTTTGCCTCATATCCCATAGTTTAGCAGTCCCATCATCAGAACCACTGACAACAAGAGGTGGCCCCCTCCGAGAAGGGCAACATGAATTCACATATGACAGATGTTCAGCCATCTTTTTTATTTGTTTTCCTGTTTCAACATCCCATGCCCGCACAGTTCTGTCTGGGCTAGCTGACACTATCTGAGTCCCATCTGTAGTCCAGTGAAGATCTAGAACAGCATTTTTGTGACCTTTTAACACCATGAAGTTCTTGCAATCCCCATGCACATTCCAGAGGAAAATTTCTTTGTCATGAGATCCAGATGCAATTACTGTTCCTGCTGAATTGAACTTCATTGTGTATATAGCACTCTGATGACCTGTCAGCAACATGATTGGGGAGACCAAGCTTGATGTTCGCAGTTTTCCATTAGGCCCAGGAGCTTGGGGAGCCCTATATGGGACAGTGGACCATTCCATTGGCCTTGGACCAACAGCTAACAATGCATTTTCACCTTCAGCTGGAACAACTTGCATGTTGTCCTTTCCTTAGAATTGAAGACAACCAGCCACAAATTTGTATGAGATCCTAGTGTTCAATGCTGAAAATAGAAATCAAAATAATCAACACAAATTGATAAATATAATAAAATACTCCCTTTGTTAAAAAATGTAAGGTATTTTTTAAAGAGTTAGATGTTCAAGAATGTTAGGCATTTTTAGTGTTTCAAAGTATAATCATTACGTTTTTTCCAAAAGTGCCCCTAATGTATAGATCACTTTATATCTATTTTAGAATAAAACACCCTATTAAATAAGGGCAAATATAAAAAGATGGTATTAGTTTGAAGATAAGTAATTACTTTATTAAAAGGTGAGATTCAATTAAAAATGTCTTACATTTTTTAACGGAGAGATAGTGATGGAAAGGTTCAACAGCTAACAAAATGATGGAGTGATCAACAGCTACTTGATGGATGATGAAGGAAAGGTTCAGGTTTGGGTTCCATAGGGATAGAGTTGTTATGTTTTAAATTTGCTAGGAGTATTTTGGTCTTTTCATATTATAAATACATTTAAAAAATTAAAAATTATACAGGATTCCATGTCACACAAAACATACTTTTATATCCCAATTCTATTTCAATTTTGATTCCATTAAAAACACTTCAATTATATCAAACAAGGCCTTAATAAAGAAGCCAAAAAAATAATCATCTCCCTCGGGTGGTGAAAGAAACTTCTGACTATAGACTCTCAAATTCTATTCTAACTATAGACACCACAAGCTTGCAAAATATGTACGGTGCTAAAGGACTTTATGCTCCTTATTATTCCCAAACCCCTTGAACTTAATAGACAAACAATGTCGTAGATTAGCTGAACACCTTGGCGTAGCAGATGCAGTAACTCTCTTATAATACCCATGTCATAAACAATACCAAAACAAGTCTAAGGAAATAAGGGATCTCCTCTAATTTTACAAACCAGAGGCACCCATAAACTGCAAATTGCAATGTTTTCTTCTCCATCATTTGGAAAGAATCAGGTGAAACTGCTCCAAAGTACTCAGAGAAACCCAATTATCACCAAAAAGGTTGTTCTAAATTGCTTCATTTGATAGAAAAATGATAACTTCTTTAAAAGCCTTCTTCACCCAAATTCCCTCATAACCAGATGAAAAAGATTTAAAAGAAAATTAACAGCTTAAGAGCCAAACAGGAATTCACATATCATAAAAGGTCATGCCTGCAAAGGATCATTTTTTGTGCACAAAGAAACCCCAAGAACAGGACCACGTGATGACATAAAATATCAGAATGACAAAAAAGTGTAGGATGAAGACATCTACTACTAAAATGTCAGAAAGCTGCACTAAACAAATCCAAACAAAGTAATGTAGAAAAATAAGCAACTAATATAAAGAGCAGGAAGATTTGAATCCCTCTTTAGGTTTTCATTTCAAGCATGCTTGATCTTGGAAGTGATTTATGAAAGATATTTACAAGGGCAGATAATAGTACATTTCAAAAATAAAATAAAAATGTAATTAAGGAGAAGCCAAAAACAATTCTAAGCTCCTAATTGCTATAAAAGTAAATATGTTCTCAGCCATGACACAGCCAGGAAATACATTACAAGCCCAACTAGTGACAAGCATACAGAAAATCAATAACAAGTAAGGCATGAAAAATTAAATTGAGGTGCTAGTTCAAGGTCCAATGGTCAAATCATACTTGAACCATGGCCATAATTAAATTAATATCATTTATATGTTTAATAATACTATATTAAAAATGATAAAATAGTCATCCATAATCATAAAAATAAATATGAATACCAAAAAACAAAAAAAAATCATCTAAAACAAAAATGTTCATACAAAATGATAAAGTAAACTTACACAACATTCATCCAAAACCATGTATAGCAGTATTCACCCACCAGGCCACCACAAACATTCAATAACCAATTACAACATAATAATTCACGGAGAAACAATTTGCAGCAGCAATTACACCAGCAAATAATTCATAAAGCATTCAATCAGCATGCCACTTAACAACAAAAATTAAAAAACCTTACAGCTCAGCTGGAAATAATTCACGGCACCAATTACGATATTCAGCCATAAAAGAATCCAGCAAAATATGCTAATACAGTATCCGGCCATCAAAGAACAAAAATACGAGATATGCCAATACACTACTTGGCCATCAAGGGCTCCTACAATAGCAAAGCTCACAAGCACAATCAATAATGTCTTCCATATCCACAAAAATACATTGTTTAACATGATCAAAGGCCATCTGTGGCGCATATACAATTCGACCATCTTCCTTCTTTATTAGTTCTTCCTGTTCGAATAGAGTTCATTTATATTCCTCTATATCAGTTCTTCCTTCTAAATATTTACGCAGAAGACTTCATTATTTTTTTGGCCATCGCAGATAACTTCATCCAAAGGGGAAAAAATGCCAACGATATACACATGGGATCCACAACAGCAGTGACTGTGACGGAAGAGAAAGAGATTACCTGTTTCCTTTTCTCCTGAGGAGTACAAAGGCAGAAGAAGGATATACCCTTACTGATGAAAGAGGAAAATGGAGATGCCAAGACAATGATAACGACGAAACAGGATGAGGCCGGAGACGGCAACAATTGGAGCTGAATTAAATCAAATATAGGGGAGCTAGGGCTTACGAGATTTCCGCAGTGCGACCACAATGAAAATATGAAATCCGGTGTACGTCAACAAATATTTCTTGGATCCCAATTACAAGGCATATTTTAAAAAATATATTTAATTTTATTTATGAATTATAGTGAGATTTTTTAAATAATATTTAAAAAATATTTTTAAAATTATCTTTATGAAAAGAAAAAAGTAACATGACATTACTTTTAAAAATTTATTATATATGGACATATTTAAATTTTACATACTTTTATTCATTCTATTTTTTTTATATTGGTATTAATAAAATTAATAAAAATAACTTATAAAATAAATAAAAGGAGTACTTATTAAAAAAAAAAAAACTCACCAATTCCCAACTTGAGACAACATGAAAAGAAAACATTGTATATTTTGGGGTTGTCAAACCTTTAGGTAAGTGTTCTTTCTCTTTTTCCTTCCTTCTTCTTATTTCTTGGGTTTTCTTTCGTGCATGAGGTACTTTCCAAAAGTGACAGCTAGTACTGCCACTCTAATGACTTTAATAGAGTCTCAAGATGAAGTTTTAAGGTTCTAATATTGGGTTTATGTTGAAGGTAGCATTTAATGTCATTAAAGAGGAGTTTAGAGTTAACTCTAGAGTTAAATAATTAAATTTAAACTAATAAAGTTAGTTAATAGTGTTCAATCAGCTTAATGGAAGTGAGTTTTTGGATTAGTTTTGCTTAATCATACTTAATGAGAGATTAATGCCTTAACTATGGTTAAGAGTAATTAATGACGATTAGTCATTCATGCTAATTGTTCATCATTGATTGTAGAGTATTTACTTTTGGAGTTTGCGTTAGTGGGAAACTCCCTTGAGAAATCCAAAATGAACTTTTAAGAGTGGTAAACTCAAGAGTTGAAGTAATTGAAAGTTTAATTTTTATATATGATTATGTTTGTGAATTATGTCTTGGTATGCTATGGCATGAGTCATATGCTAAGATGATCATGATCAATTGTCTTAATGTATTAATATCTTGAATGGTGAAACTTGTTCATGTTAAATTTGAATTGTTATTGCTATGATGCATGTGTCGCATAGTTATTATGAATATAGAGTGATGAGATTGGGTTTGAGTATGAGCATGTGATAAATTGTAAAATCTTCTTTATCTAATTACATTTAATACTTATGTCTAAGGTAATCAAGGGTTTAACTTAAATTAGATTACCAAGTTCGTAATTTATAGAAATGAGATCCCAAATTTTCATAGTTTAAAAGTAAATCAAAATCATTTGTTGAACTCTTAATTAGAGTAAAAATAATGTTTCGGAAGCATGAAACACTTTAGAGGAGTGAAATAACTTGAAAACAGTTGAAAAATGCTAAAAGCTAAAAAACACAGCAATGCGTTGCGGCTTGTGCACAATGCGCCATGGCTCCTCACTCTCTGTACCATGCGTTGTGGCATGTTATACAATATTAGACAACATTTTTATTGTCATTTGACAGCAATTTCAAGAAACTTCTAACGTGCCTCATTTCTTCTTCCAACGTCTGATGAAATGATCTAGGTATCTACGAAATTTTTTTTATAAACTAGTTAATGGCATATGTTTTTAGTTCCAAACTAAGTCAAACTAAGAAGTTAGATATCCAAACATATTTTTACAACTATTCACAATTTTCACAACTAAAAGGGCGTTCAAAACCCTATACAAGTGCCGAAAGCCATTTCTAACACCTAGACCATGCTAATAGGACTTAAGACTACCTTTACAACATACCACATGCACATATACACTACTATATCAAATGTTCACTCCTCAACTCCTTTAATACCAAAGACAAAAGAGGAAAGTTTTAGCATTGCATTTCAACAACAACATTCACAATTGTAATTGATTAAATGTCCCTACCCTTGCACTAGTATTTTAGTCTTATAATACACTTGAGCAACATACAGACAATAACCTAGGGTTCAAAATACATTCCAAAATCATAAAATATCAAAAGTGCAAGTGTATGCAAAATTCAAACTTACTTGGCAATGTATCAATTATTACACAAAGATAAATAGGGTCAAGAGGCTATATAGTAGGAGTCCTAGATTCCTAAGCCTTTGTAACTTTTTTCCTTTATACATAGAGCTAGAGCCTATAAAATATTAAAAGAGAGGAGTAAGTCTAACTACTCAGTCACTAAGGTACATCTACCCTGTACAGTTGTATATCAATTGATTAAAACACATAAAGTGAGTTGATTATTTAAAGATATCAATTTCAAATAATGCAAGTCACATTTTCACAATTCGATAATTAGTCATATTCATCAACTCAATTCCATAGTGCATTGCAACAAGACACTAAAAAATGTGACAGTAACTCAACTCATCATCTCAATACACATTGCCACTACAATGGCATAATCCTTATCGCAACTTGCCACAAACTTAATAATCATGTGACACGTCAAATAAATACATATACATGATCAAATCATTCTCATAGTCTTCTTATTTTGTTCGATTAAAACTGTGAGCTATAATAGCAAATAGGGCTCTGTCTTTGTGACTGGACTACCTAAGCTTACCAATTGTGAGATGTGACCTAATCAAAGATTATAAGACTCACTCTCAGACCATGATTTCCCTTACTCTCAAATCTGTAGGGTGTCGAATACCTTAAACTAACCTCCTCAAAAAATTAGTAGAAATAGCTAGGTTCTAGTCCTTCGATAAATTATGAGACAGTCTTTTAACAAACAGTGGGATAAGGCTATGCCTTCGCACACCAAAAGGTAGCTGCTGTAAGTATCATATGAATTTTATCTACTCCTCTCCCTAGGCGAACTCCCGCCAACTGATCATGCAATGTATGATACTCACTCATTTTACAATTTTACTAATTCAATAACACATTAGGCTTACAATAATACGCTACCCAAGTGAGCATGTATATTATTTTCACAAATGTTTTTAGCTTAAACTCTCAACCTTATAACACATTTCAACTACACATATATCATTCATATTTTGATACAACTACATAAACATTAGACATCATACTTCTCATTTCCATTACATGTCAAGCTTTAAATGTCATTTCGAGTTCAATTCCATATTTCAAATCAAACAAAAGATATGCACATTCACAATTAATCCAATCATTAAAGTTTAGGGCATACTTCACTTTTAAAATTAAATCATACATGCTAATATATACATTCTCGCATTAAACTCTATTAATAAACAACTATCTGAAATAAGGTTCTCCCGATTACCTCAAACCTTTAAAAGGTCAAACATTTACCCCTTAAAATATGCTTCTAAGCTTTCTCCCCAAGCCAAATATAGTACTCGGATGATTAATCTACAATTAATCAACTCCAATTCATCAACATTATCAATTACACACTTCTAAGCTCTTATTTTCTACTTCTAAAAATATCAATACCCTTATTTCTTACATTTATGCTTATTCATTGGGTGTGTTAACTTCTATCCATCCCAACTAACAATTATCAAACTCATATAGGGTCAATAATGTCACAACAACCCTCATAAATTCATATTAAATGTCTATTTTTGGACATTAATGAAGCTCACCAACCAAAAATGTAAAAACCCTTAATTTTTAAGTTTAAATACTCCAAAAAACTCCCATTAACTCTACTTAATTCAATAAGTTTGGATTCATAACCTATATGAATCGAAAATCATTATCCCAACCTAAACCCTAACATTAATCCTCATAAAAATGGAAGAGAATGGGAGGAAAGGAGTTTAGGACACTTAACTTAGGTGTTTCTAGCTTTAAAATGCTCCCAAGCCTTTAAGGGAAAAAGGCTTAGCAAAGCAAAAGGCATCCTCTTCATTTCCTCTATCTCTTCTTTTTGATTTTTACATCAATTCATGATTAAATTATGTAAAAATCACATCGTGTGCCATGACACATGTACCGCACACTGCGGCGTGTGGTACAAAAAGGATCCCTTTTCTTTTTTTGGCCTCATATACTGCAGCTCACCATGCACACATTGCAACATGTGTTACATACACTTTTCACACCTAGATGGCTCAACTTCACTCTAGACCCATAATTAGGATTGAAATCACAACCAAAAGCACTTATTAGACCTCTCTGGCCACACACCATATCAAATTACTTAATTAACATAATCAAACTTAGTTAATTAGGGTTAAATTTTTCTAGGATGTTACATAAATAACGGGTACAGGTTCATGTTATGTTGAGGGAATTGAATATGATTATAGTTATACCATTACATATAAACTTGCATGATCATAGATGGGTGAGAGTTTACTTAAGAGAAAGTAATAGGGCATTATTGGAAATCTATGTAATATAGCCTCAATTGAGTTTGTGCATAATGGTTGATGTTATTATTAATTACATATACTTAGCATTTGTCATTACTTGGCTTCCAGGTATAGCATGGGTCAGGCACAATACTCAGTATCACTAATTTTTATGGAGGATAATATGGGTCAAACAATTATGACACCTTGCAATTCAAGAAGAGGAAATCCATTGTCTAAAAGTGACTATGGGAATCTTTGGCTGAGTTAATCCCTACAATTAGAAAGTAGGGCTAGTCCTGTCATGTGGATTACTCTTATATGAATTAGCAGCCTATAAATTCAATTAGAAAATTTAAGGAGAGGAATAAGGTAATTGTATTTGATCACACGGATGTCTCATAATGTTGCATTATTGTTAACATGTGAAATACCATTTATGTAATATCCTGAATTTTAATCCCCAGATTAACTAAGATTAATTATGATAATTGAGTAATTAATATGGTATGTGGTTAGGGAAGATTAATGATTGATTTTGGTTATATTTTAGCCCTAATTATGGGCATGAACTAAAGACGGGCCACTCAGGCATCGAAAGGAGAAGAAAACAAGGAAGAAGTGCTTCTGTGACACACATCGTGGCATAAAACACATCCGTCATGGTGCACAGACATAACTAAATCGAGAGAAGACCTCTTTATTCCATATGCTATGGTACATGCAGTGTCTGTCGTGGTGCATAGCCTAATT